AGTCACATTTATTCTGCAAAGGAGATTTGCTGCGACAACATGAGGTTTGCATTTAAAATGTTTGCATTACAAAAAAATGTATATTAAAGTGTCAAATGACATATATGATATAACATTAATGACTGCAAAGACAGTGTGCTTAACCGACTGATTTAATGATGTCAGACTTTAACAAGCACTGAAGCTTTTTCTCCAAATTAAAGGCAAATAAAAACCTTTTCATCTGTGAAGTCATGAAGACACTATAACTGTAATCACATTCTTGGCACATGTCAACGTGATTTCCTTGTTTCAGCATGTTCTGAGGTTACCGTCAAAGTCAATTTAGGTCAACGAACTTTCTTACAGAATACAAATTCATGAGTGCAAATCCCAGAAAGACTGTGTTTAAGCTGCAGTTGAACTGCTACATTTAATGTTAACTTAAGTAAACAAAGAAAAGTTTAATATGCTTATAGGTACTTTTGTTTCTGCCACAAGTTTAAAATCAAGGATATGAAATCATGAATTAGGCCGGTTTCTGCAATTACTTTCTTTGAAAATCCATAATAATACTCAATAATACAAACTGATTAAAAATGTGCATATTCCTTGTCTTTTTACACACTGCACAGATTACACAAACACGAGTGATCAAAAAAAGTTGAGTAATTATGTGCGTACAGAAATATACCAACTTCATATGTAATGGCAGGGAAACATGGTACAGTGCTACATGTTAATGAGCTGCTGTCCTGCCGTGTCGTTATGGATTGTATTCATTTTATTAAGCTAGCCATTATTATTAAGCACTGTGGCATGGTGGTTAGCACTGTTGGCTCACAGCAAGAAGATCCTGAGTTCAATCCCACTATCAGGAGTCTTACTGTGTGAAGTTTGTGTGTCTCCACGTGCTCCGGCTTCCTCTCAAAGACACGCAGTTAGAGAATGGAAGGATTAGTCAAGATTCTTTGTTTGTCACATGCAGTGAAATTGTTTAATAATGTTCACATTCCTACTAGAGGTGGGAATCACCATACATCCCACGATACGATATTATCACAATACTTAACGCACGATACGATATTATTGCAATTTTTAAAAATATTTTGCGATATTCAGATTCTGTACATAAAGGTAAAC